TCCCTTGCATTATGCACATTCCCCCAGTTCTTGTCTACTTTGGAGCTGAATTTTTTTCCCCCTCTGACATTTTCACTATATTTGTTTGAAAGTTATATACTCTATTTCTATTCTTTTAGAGATTACCCTAGAAATTCTACCATGTACATTTAATTTAATAAAATCTAGTGTTAATAAGTATCTCTATATTCCTCTTGAAAAGTACAAAGACCTTAAAATACAAAACACTTTAACTTCACTATTCTGATTTATATGTTGTTATTGTCTAGGATTTTATCTTAATTTTTAATCCTTTTAATTAGGCATTGATATTTTACACAATTTTTGTTTAGGTTCCCACAAGTTTAATGTTATGTTTTGCCCACCATTCTTTCCTGCACCTCATACCTTCCCTCCTTAGTAGTTCTCACAGGAAGACAGTGCCTTGCAAGGGTCCTAGATTGCTGTGGGGATCTTTGATCTAACCTCCCATCATGCTTGAGCCCAAGGCTTTGTCTCCTATACTCAGAGTCCACAGCCTTTGTAAACCTAGCACCTCACTGCCAGGTGCCAGAGATGCCCTCAAGGCAAACTTTGAGTTTGCTTACTCTTGTGCAATCAAGCCTCCTTGTCATTTCAGCCTCTGAGTGTTTCCCTTAGTTTTCTGCCAGCTCAACTGTGCTTTACACAAATATTTTAAGAATATTATTCAGCATTTTTAGCTGATCTTACTGGGAAGTTTTTTTCTACAGGTCATTTTTTGATCCCTAAATATTTTTAGTAACTGTTTAGTATTCACAATCTTTGAATCGATTTCATGTAATTGTTTTATTTACCATGTATGCTCCATTAGTGAAAAATGTAACTGAAAAAGCCAATTAGAAAGTAAATTAACAACTTTTTCATCATAAAAACAATTTCTTTTTGCCTATCATATATATTTTGCATAAGCTAAGAGCTATTTCCAAAAGACTACCCATTTTCTTCTGATATCTAAGTATAAAATATTGATTCAAATAAGATATATACCTTCTAACATTTTATAATAAAAAATTTCAAACATCCAGGAAAGTTGAAAGATACATTTACCATGTAGAGTCTACCATCATTTTATAATATTGTTTTATAACACAGCTACCGACTCCCTTTCTACCCATCAATTCATCTTAACTTTTTTGTTCCACTGCAAAGCAAAATGCTGACATTAATACATTTTCTACAAATATTTTATAAACATAATATTTTTATTTCTGGGCAATAAAACTTGCTTTCTCAACATTTTGTTTCTATTTTTTAAGTATTTAAAAGGCATGATCAAATAATACCATTTGAGTAAAAAAACAAGCCTTACAGTTAAGAGGTGAAATAAGTGAAAAGAACTAATTATTAATCCTTTAAAACATATTTCCATATTAGTAAACTAAGATTCATAAGTGGCACATTCATTTGAAATGTTTGCCTTTTTATTTCATCAGTATCTAGAAGTTCTATTGTAGTTTCTGTTTGTTTATAACAAAAAGCTCTTACTTGTTAATACATCCCTATTCAGCAGTTCTGGGGGACTATCCAATTTCATGAAGGCAGAGGCGAACAGTCACCTTCTGAACTTAGTTTAGGCAAAGTTTCATTTGCTTTCTGTGATTAAGATTTACAGTAAGAAATATATATTTGGTCTTTGTCCTATTCCTGGCACAGAGCTCCTAAAACCCTTGGGATTTCCTAAGTGATAAGAGCCAAAACAGTGAAAAGAAAGCCTTCTGTTATTCATAACAAGTCCCTTTCAACCACACCTGAGTTTATATTAGAGAGGTGACATTCCGAAAGCCCCTGGTTGTCAGGGGAACCAACTGCCTGATTAAAAGACTGGAACTTTTAGCTCTATTTCCAGACCTCCAGGGAGAGGAGAGAGGCTAGAGGTTGAATTAATCACCAATGGCCAATTATTTAATCTATCATGCTTATGTAAATACCCTTTATAAATACTCAAAAAGAGGAGTTTCAGAGAGCTTCTGGACTGGAGAACACATGGAGGACCTGGGAGGGTGGTGCATACAGCAAGGGTACAGGGGCTTTACATCCTTTCCCACACAATGTGCCCTGTACATCTCTTCATCTGGCTGGTCATTTGAATCCTTTAAAATACTAGCAATACTAAACTGCTTTCCTGGGATCTGCAAGCAGCTCTAGCAAAGTATAGAATTTGCAGGGGCTGGGGGGCTGGTAGCAATAACCTCCAATTTGTAGCCAAGTTAGGCAGAAGTTGTGGGTTATTTGGGTACCTAGTACTAGTGAATGGCATCTGAAGTAGGGTCAGTCTTGTGGGACTGAGCCGTTAACATGCAGGGTCTGTGCTAACACTGGTGAGTGTCAGAACTGAATTGAATTGTAGCACACCCAGCTAGTGTCAGAGATTTTGTCAGTGTGGGTAAAAAAAACCCATATCTGGTGTCAGAAATATGAGTGTGAGAATAAAGGAAAAATTGTTTTTCTAGACAGCCTCTACAGGTGTCTTCCTGCTTAATTATTTTATGAATTAGACTTATCATCTCTTTAAAATTGTATTAAAATAAGCACTTTATTTAGCTACTCTATCAAGATTATACTTTTGCTTTCTATCTTTAATGTTAGGAACAATGATTTATATTTACAGAGAGCATTTCTTTATGAAAGTTGATCACTTTAAACACACAAAAAGGTGTCAGGAAAGGACATGAGAAGTAAAAGGTTAGGTTTAACTGGATTTACAGCAAGGCCATCAGGACAATTTTTTATACTTCCTAAAGATAAAATAGGCCAAAAACCAAAAGATGTCTGTGGACTTCCTCTACTGCTAAGATAAAAACAAAATTGCATACAAAAATATTTATTTTAATGACCCTCACAATATACTTGTCTATTATCACAAATTCATACTGCAACTTCATTCTTCATATTCTGCATGAAACTAAAATCAATGTAACACTGTATTCTTTATTAAGAGAACCCAGTCTGGATTCAGGCAATCCAAGTCCTTAGCTTTACCAGTGAGCAACCTTAGGCACATCCCTACTCTGCATGGTGCTCCTTTTCTTCATTTTAAATTTAAAATTGTGTGTGATGGTCTTCACTGTTTACTTACCCCATCATCTAAAAACCTTTTAGATATTAAAAAACTGGCTAGCCAAAGTACAGGGAATAATGAAATTGCAGCACTTCACAAATACAAAAAGTATCTGGCCTGTTTCTCTTCCCCTAAGTAGGAGAACTTCGGCAGCAGATTACGCAAAAGAATTGTTGCAACTTAAGCTATCTCATTTAATTTATTCTAAACTTACATTTTTTTCATAATGCCATGTATAGCCTACTGTCAAAAGAGCTAAGAGTAGCAAAGCATGCAAAAAAAGAAACATGAAAAACCTAGCACATCCCAAGATAAAATGTTCAATTCCAGATGTAATCACACAGAGAAGCTAGAGTGCATCATAGGGTCAGTAACATTGTGAAAAGTGATGCTTATGTACCTAACAAATCACTGCATCACGTCAGAGAGGCAGAGACACAGTGAGGCCACCAAGAGGGTGCCTTCAAAACATATTTCATTCATGTTAATCTTTTTTTGGCTCTTCAGGGAGATGAATTCATTAATTTTCCCTAGAAACTGGGAAAATGAAATAATAGAGCAAAGAACAGAGCCTTAAGTCCAAATTAATGTGACATCAGCCCTAGCTTTTTTGGCGTATGTTCACATGTAGAAGACGGCCTCACTCAGGATGAAGAGTCTCTTGGGGTATGCTAAAGTCATTCAGATAAAAGGCAAGATTCAATTACAGATCATAGCTCATGAAATACATTAACATTTCTCAGCTTCTAGAAAGATTGTTTTCCAAGGCTTCACTGTTGGGTAGAGATCAAAGTGCCACTTTATAAATAGTTTCTCCATTTGTCAAATGATAATACTCCCTTAACAGGATTGTTCTGAGAAGAAAAGGAGAGAACTACATGAAATTGCTTGAGTGAGTTAGAAAGAGTTATAACAGTTACATTATAAATAAGATTAAAACTCAACTCAGTGTAATACTTCCTTTTGGTACATGAAGTTGAAAATTATATTACTTTCTATTGTAAAGTATATCATTTGTAAAAATATATAATATATATATTCAGCTAAAAAGAATAATAACTTTTAATGATCCCTGATATATATACCCTGCTTATCTTAAGAAATGGAGCATTACTAATACTTTGGAGGCTCTTTCTACTATATTTCACTTAGTCTACTCCATACTATCTGAAATTTTGTGCTAATCACTTCCTTGCTTTTATTTATAGCATTGACACATTTATATGTGTCCCTAAACTAACTTATCTGTCAATCACCTACCGATTTCTACCCATCCATTCATTTTCCATCTATCCATCCATCCATTTTTTAACTTTATACATATTCCATATATATGCATATGTATGGACTTGTTCAACTTCTAAAGTGTTTTTCTCAGACTACTTTCTTGATGTTTTATCTAATTGTTCATATAATCCAAAAGGTTAAAGTAATATATTATATTCATTTAAAGCAAAGAAAATGAGCCACAGTGAAACTAGCAGCTTGCCACATTGTAAGCGAGGACAATGGGCAAATCTTTCTATAGTAATTCTGTGAGTAAGCAAACCACTGGCTGCCCCTAGCTTTATAGCACATTCCTATTTTTAGCTTCACTTAAAACTAAAACATTTCTTGAGTGCTAGGAGCACAATTAAGTTAATATTTTTCAACTGACTTTACATAGCTGGTATTTTTAGCTGCAAATTAAAAGGGAAGTTATATTGAAGTGCACTGATCATGTAAAAGCCCTAACAATAGTCAAATATACTCCTTAAAAGGAAAGCCAGAGGAATTAAAGAAAGAATATCAAGAGATTTATTTTTATCTGAGGGGATGAACTATTAGAAAACAGTCATATTATAGAATATTCTAATTAAAGAAGATGGCTCATTAGATATGTAATTAGTCTGACACTAATCAATCCAAAGATATCAGTCACCTGAGCAAGTGGTGGAAGAATCTTCTTGCATATTTGCTGATTGGGTCTCTATATTCCAAAACAGTCGTATCCAGGAGTGGTCTTGTTGGAGCATAGAAGGTTCCAAGGCTTGCCTCAAGCTGTGCTGTGGAATTCAAACATAGCAGCACTGAAACAAGTGCAACTCCTTTAATTACAACAGAATACTCATGTTTGTAGTCAGTCAGGTTTTGCAAACTTGGATGAAATGTGAGCTTGTTGCAGGAAAGATGAAATTAAAATATGACAGCTGGTACAAAAACAAACCTATGTATAAACTTTCACTTGAGGCAAAGCTGACAATGACTCTGAGCAACAAAAAGCTGTCAAAACTTAAGAAATCCATAATGAACCAACCTCTCACCACAAACGGGTAATTAAAACAGTGACTCATCAAAGTAACACAGTTTGAACTAGTATTTCCAGTAAAATCAACTCACAGTATGCTCAACATTTATTCTCTTTAGTTGAAAGAGAAAACTGACCTTTCTGCATTGGGAATTGAAATCAGTATTAGAAATGTTTACAAAATAATACAAATAAAAATAGCCCTATTGGAGTAATTAGCTATATTACAATTTTTAAGAAACAGTATAAGTCTCTATATCTTTCCTAAATCCTGTCCTAAACAACAACACTGTTAATTTTATCCAAGTGTGAAAGCCAACACCCCTGGGAGGCATGACCTGCTTCTCTGCTCTGGTTAACGGACACCTTCCTATGGAAAACAGGATTGGAGGGCAGGTTTTCATAAGCCAGAGGCGTAGACTGGGAGAAAATTTTAGGCACATTTTGCCTACTTCATAATTTTACCAAGACATTACTCCTCTGGGGGTAGTGTTTCCTCCCAAAATACCTGAAAGTTATATAATTACCATAATGGTGAGAGCTGTACAAAAACACTATACTTCACAGTAGGACTCCAATGATTTTTATACAACTAGCACTGGGTTGAATAAACAATTCCTTATTTAGCAAAATTCTTTAGTTTTAGGCATATTTGGGTTTGAAAGTATTAAATGCCTCATCAGAGTAATTGCTATGGACTTGGCTAAGCTGTTAGTAATTTCTTTTTTAATCTCAAATCAAGTCCATACAGTAAAATGAACTTTAGGGATATTTTCTTTCAAAGCAGCAGTCAATTTAGATTAAAATTGAATACAGCAACGCTATTGTGAAAACAAGCCAGATTCTTTTGCCATTGCTTGTTTTCTTGACAGCATGTTTCATACATCTGAAATGTTTGAGCCTATATGGAGTATGTGTAACTCCCAGCACAGTTACAGATTTATTAGATAGCCCAGCTTGATGTTTAAGGCAGAAATGAAGATCTCAGAGATAACCACAACATGGCTACAAATAAAAGAGCTCACTGGGTTCTACTAATAAAAGGAAAACAAATTACCATGTCAAATTTGTTAGATTCAGACAGAATAAATCTCAATAGAGAAGAATTCTGAATGTTTTAGAAATGTGTTTTGCAGTTACTTGGGAGGAAATGCATATACCTACTTAAAATGTACATATTCTGATAACCCAGAATCATATAGGCATTTTATTTAATAGGCTAGTATCATACAAGCTTTTCATTTCCCTATCTCCCCAATATGGTTCCCTGAAAATGTTCTTTATTATGGCAAGAACCTGATAATCTCCATTTGTGAATCCCTAATAATCTTTCTTGCAACACAGGAATCTTACCACATAAATTCATTAAGGTGCTAGCAATTTCTCAGTGTCCTGAGCGACCATCAGTGTCTTATCCTCTCCATATTTCTTCAACAATAAATTTTAGAATTTCTTGTATAGATTGTGTGTGGCACAATGGGCTTTCTTTAGGTACTCTGCCTATTTTTTTTCCTCCTATATTTCTAATCCTGAGAGTTTACCAATACTAAGAAATAATTAGTTGATATAACTCCACAGGCAGAAATATTACAGTAATACTTAGTACCTTAAAATTTTTTTAAAATTATACTATTTATTTTTAACTAATATTCATCAAGTACCTACAATGGGCCAAGCACTGTGCTAGGCATTTTCTCAGTGTAGAAGTACTGGACTATCCATAGATGGGTTGGACTATCTCCAAAAAGCACATACAATTTGCATCAAATTAATATTTATTGTGGGCCTCCTGTGAGTTGGGCCAAGTCCCATGATGCAGACATCCTGAAGGAACACATTCTTAGTATTCTCTAAAATTGCTAAAATGAAGATTATTATAGAATTCTATCTAAACAATGTGTTTGCTTTGGAAATGTGGTAAAATGGAATTAGAAAAACTACAAATATGCAAATAAAATAGTAGAGGGAAGAAAGACCTTTTGAGATTTTTCCTGTTTTCCTTACCTTGTAAATTACCTAGGGACAGTTTCTTATTGGCCAGAAATTTCCACCATTAATGTCAATGCTTATTGTGAAAATTTGAAATAAAGATGCAAATCAAGGATGCTTAGGTTCACTTTACATTAAGTAAATAAATAACACAATAAAACTAACATATATTGGATAATGGCAAATAAAAATTTCATTATTGTATGTGGCATTTTCCTCCCCCTCCTTATTTCTTTTTTTCTTAAGTAGTATCTTATCTCATTGACAATAAACATCTGAGATCCATGGGTAAAATTACTTACTGAGGGAATGTAGGGAAATCCAAGCAGGCAGAAGGAAAACGGGTATGAGAACTACAAGTCAGAATGAAAACAGGAAGAGCAGCCTGGATTGCAGTTCTGACATACAAACACACACATAAAATCAGTGGTAAAGACTATCATCTGGACAAAGAACTTGTGGTATGAAAGATATTGATGTCTAAAGTGAAGGAGGAATAAAGACATTGTTTGGGCCTTTTGTCTACCAGACCTTAGAGAGCACATGAAATTCTTGATCAATGTTTGAAATCGGAGCATATTCAACATATGAACTTGGACTGAAATATACAATGACAGCATTGTGAGTTCTGACATATATACAGAAAAGTTGTTCATATTGATAAATACTTTAAAGTAAGTACCATATGGAAGTAATGATTTGATATTTGATCTTGTCAGTTTTAACAGGGCATTAACATTTTTGTCTTTTAATTGCTAATAGCATAATTCAAAAATATACTCAAAAAGTTACTGACTCACTAAAATGCACTTCATATATATATATATAAAAACACATTTATGAAATGTATTTTAAGTCTGACCTTCTCTCTCTGGAGTGAGTTTTTGTCTAAGAAGATGGTTTACAATGGCACTCATGCTGATAAAGCACTGGCGGCCCAGAGTGTCCCAGTTCATACTGCTCAGGATGCTTATTGCCTCAGAGATCTCATTGCAGTGAATGTACTGGAAGAGAAGGTCTACCAGGCCCAGCTGGCCTCGTGTGAAGATACCTGTTACAAAAAATATAAAACCAAGTGAATCTCTTAAAGGTAAAAAAAGTAGAATAACAAAAGCAGAGTTAACATTTCCATAAGGAAAAAAAGCAATCATTTGTTGCATAAGTGCTAGAAATGTAGGATTTTGAAAGCCAAGAGTAACACTGCTTTATGGTTAAATCTTCATTTTAAATACTATGCACCAATTCTATCTAGTTTATGCTTATCATTCAACATATATTAACCAAATTACACTCCATATAATCAAACTGCTTAGACTAAAGGTGGATAAATAGGAGAAGAATTTTTGGGTAGACCATCATAATTAATACTACTTTTCCCATTATTCTTTCAGGCCTCTCTTTTAGACATTTAAAGATAGGCTTTTGATGCAAACACAATCCTTACTGACCAGCTTCATTAGTTCTAAGCTGCATCTAGTCTTCAATCCTATGTATTTGTAGGGCTTGGGGGGAGTGCTAATATCCCTGAGAAACATAATGTGACTATATAAATGCTTTTAAGTCTGCTTTAATTAATGGTACTTTCAATTGATAGTTTCTTCATAGATAACACACACTAATTCATTTTAAATTGACGTTTAGAAATTATTCTCTTTTGTTGAAGAAATAATCAGTATTAATCTTGCTGTTGATCCCCTTCACAACCAATATTTGCTATAAAATATTTTCATTCAATATAAATAAATTTATAATGACTTAAAATCTATTTCTAATCATAGAGGAATAAGAATACAAAACAAAGGGGGACCATTCTAATTTTATTTTATAATTTATTAAATATGGATGATATTAGAAACAAATAATTTCTGTGTAATTAAATGACAATAAGCACTAGGACTTTTAAGTAACTTTTTTTAAAATTGTTTTTAAATGGCAGAATGTAAAACTTTTTTCTTCAGCCAGTGTTTACTGATTTGAGTGCATCTACAAAAGCTTCTTAGTACAAATAATTACAAAACTAACTGAGAAAATGCATGTGAAATTATCTGTAAGTTGCATATAAAGTATTTAAATGTTACTACGATTTTTTTCATTACTATCATCACATCATCAATTTAACTGGAATAGTTATAGGTTTCAGGGTTTTAAAAAATATATTGCTTTATGAGAAAGATACCAAAATTCTTTATAATAACTTCAAGTCACATCAAAATGAGAACTTGTGCTGTATCTAACAGGACTCAACTTGATAGGGAATCTAAGGAATTGCCCTGACTATTGTAAGCAATAAAACTTTACTATTCTTTTTGTGTTGGTAGAATTAACAAATGCTATCATTCAAAAACCTTCATGAACCTGCAGTCAAGCACTGGAAGTCCTCATAAATCAGAGTGGTTCATTGGCAGTAAATATTAATGTGTGGGAACTTTGCAGTAAACTGAAAACATATGAAATCTGTTGACCCCACCTACACCCTTAGCAATACTTCTAGCAAGAGAAAGAACTGACTTATTGAGAAGAAAACCTAACATATAATCATAATCAAATCATTCAAAAGGTGATAAAATCTTAAGAAGAAGCCAAAGAAAAAGGACACATCATGTACAGAGAAACAAAGATACAAGTAATTGCAAACTTTGTCTTTGAAATTATACAAGTCAGAAGACAACAGCAAGACATTTTTTAAGTGGTGAGAGATACAAATGATTTAGCCTAGAATTCTATACCTTAATAAAAAAGAGTTGAAAATGCATTTAGAAACATAAAAGTCTTAAATGGACCGAAAAACAGAGCTCTAAAATAATAAAGCAAAAACTGATAGACCTAAGAGAAGAAAAAAAGCCAACAATTGTAGTTGGGGATTTTAGCACTTCTCTCTCATTAGTTGACAGAACATATAAACAGAAAATTAGTAAAAATAGAAAATACTTGAAAAACATCATCAATGAATTTGATCTAATTGACATTTATAAAACTCTTCACACAAAAACAGCAGAACACACATTATTTTTAAGTGCACACAGAACATCGACCATGGTGGAGCATATTCTGGTAATAAAACAAGCCTCAATAAACTGAAATGTGTTGAAATCACACAGAGTAGGTTCTCTGACCGCAATAGAATTAAGTATCATTACAGAAAAACATCTGGAAAATCTCCAAATATTTAGAAATTAATTAATTTTTTTCTAAATAGGCTATGGGTCAAAGAAGGAATCATAAAGTAAATTAGAAAATATTTTGAAAAAATAAAAATAAAATATAACATCTAAATTAGTAAGATGTAGCTGTAGCAGTACTTAGAGGGTAATCTCTAGCTTTAAAAGTTTCAATCAGAAAAGAAGAAAGATCTAAAATCTACAATCCAAGCTTCTGCATTACGAGTATAGGAAAGGAAGAGAAAACTAGACCTAAAATAAATAGAAGGAAGGAAATAATAAAAATATGATATAGAAAATAATCAAATCAGTGGACTCAAAAGCTGGTTATTTGACATTATCAGCAAAATTGACCAACCTCTACCTAAGTTGAAAAGAGAGAGGAGATAGAGCTTAACAATATCAAGGATAATAGCTATAGAACTATAGACATTAAAAAATAGTGACTAATATGAATAACTTTATATAATAAACATAAATTAATGCAATTTATACAATAAACATAAACAAATTAATTGGTCTTTCCTTTAAAAACCCAAACTATGGTTTAGTACAGTTACTTGGGAGATTAAAGCTGTCAAAGCTCATTCAAGAAGGAACAGATAACTTGAAAGACCTTGTATTACTTAAATATGAATTTGTAGTTTAAAACACATACACACACACATACACACACGTACACACACACACAAAACAAACCTTCATGTTTAGAAGGATTCATTTGCAAATTTTCTCAAACATTAAGAAATAATATCAACTCTACACAACTCAAAATAAAAGGAGCACTTCCCAGTTCATTCCATGATGGTAGCATTTCACTGATAAAGACATTAGAGGAAAAGAAAACTACAAACCAATATCTCCCATAAGCAGATACAAAACCCTTAATAAAATATCAATAAATCCAGAAATATATTAAAAGGATAATATATCATGAACAAGGGAGATTTATCCCATAAATGCAAGGTCACTGAAACATCTGAAAACCAATATAATTCACAACTGACCAGAAAAAACAGTCATGTCAATAAATGCAGAAAAAAGCACTTGGAAGAATTCAGTATCCACTCAAGATAGTATATCTCAGCATCATAGGAATGAAAGGGACTTCCTCAACCTAATTACATCATATTTAAAATGAAAGACTAAATGCTTTCCACCTAGGATCAGAAGCAAAGCAAGGCTGTCCTCTCTTGCTACTTCTATTTAATGTTGTACTGGAAGTCCTAGCCAGTATAATAAGGGAAGAATACAAAGTAAAAGCATACAGTTTGGATGAGAAGATGGAAAACTTTTTAAGTGCACTGTCATAACCATCTAAGTAGAAAATCCTAAGGTATTTACAAAAAAGTTACTACAACTAAGAAATTAGTTTAACAGGGTTGCAAGATACATGTTCAATATTTAAAATTTTTATTTCTAGATAATCCCAATGAACAATCAATAATTGTAATTAAAGATACTATTTACAATAGCATCCAAAAACATGAACAAAACATATACAAGACCTTTACATCTAAACTATAAAACACTGCTGAGAGAAATTTTAAAAGACTTGAATAAATGGAGAGAGATACTGTATTCATAGATCAGGGGACTTAATACTGTTAAATTGTCATCCACCTCAAACTGATCTACAGATTCACCATAACCACTATCAAAATCTCATCAAGTGTTTCTGTAGAAACTGACAAGTCAGTTTTAAAATTTATAGAGAGAATCACTGGGAGAGGTGGGAAGGAGCCACAGTAGCTTAGAGGACTTTATAAATTCCAATTAATACTGTGGTGTGCAGCAGAAAAACATAAAGAACCTAGAAAGCTACAGACATGCTGAGGGACTTCACATTAAGCAACAAAAGATAATCAGGGATTCTGGGGAGATGGCAGAGTAGAGAGAGCCTTAATTCACCTTCTCTCACCTCCCCACTGAGCACACTGAATCTGTACCTACGTATAGAGAATCTCACCCTGAAGAAAAATGAAGACTAAAGTGAACACCTTCTGTACAATGAGGGACAGAGGATCAAATTTTTTAAAAAGCCCAAAATGGCAGGAGAGGCAGAGACACAGTAACTGTGGGAATCCCACCTCCAGCACGGCCACTGGCACTGGGTAGAGGAGGGGTCTCGCTTGGAGAGCCAGGCATGGATTCCCTGCCCTGAGGAACAGGAAAAGAGCCTTGAAGTTTAATGAAAGTAGACCTTAAGTGAAAGAACTTGTTTCAGAACTAAACATCCAACACTTGGCAGGGAAACAATTGAAGGCAATCCAGGATCAGAGAAGCCAACTAGCACCACTGTTTGTGCTCCTTCTGCACCTCTTGGTGCGGCTGAGAGCAAGATCTGGGCATACTCCAACAGTCCTGCCTTGTTGCCTACTGTTATCCACTGGCCCAGCCTTATCAGCAGGACTGAGAAGGTTTCCTAGCTCACAGGAGGGTGTACAAATCTGTGGGCTGGTGTCACTGAGATGCTCCCCAGAGCAAGTGGGGAGTGTGTGTGCTGGGCCAGTGCCTGATCTCAGCTGCCAGTGTGACCTGAGGTCACTGATGTGGGAATTCCCATGAATAGCCCAGAGCACGCATGAGCCATGGGGGAAATGTTCATGAAGCCTGACTCCACACTGTGAACAGGACCTTGTGAGCACCAACACAGGAATTCCTCAAAGTGGTGCCAAGCAGCCCAAAGTGTGCATGGGCATTTGGGTGAGGACATACAAGGGATTGAGTGTGCCACCAGGAGTTGCCAGGTGTGCTCCCCTAACCTGCCGTGGCCCACCACACTCCCACCACAAGTACATAACCAACAGGTCTCCATTCAGAAGCCCCTCCACAGGGCCCCCAAGGCTGTACCCTTGGGATCATGCCCTGGAAACCCCAGCACCAGGAAAAC